CATAAAAATACACCCATTGTTAAATTTGAAGCTTTTAAAATAGGCTCTCTGAGATCATGCCCATTTTATAATTTAAATTCCATTCCCAGGACTTCACTGAAATTTGTTGCTAAAAGATTCACACTCCCACAGTGTGGCCAGATGTGTCAGTTACATCCTTTAAATAGATTTGATTGCAGGTTTGGAAAGACTTATTTGTTTTACTGTATTTAAAGTTTCTGATGTTAAGTGTTTTCATTTTCCTCCATTCTAGCTATTTTATCTTTGGCTTGTTAGTCCATGCAACTTTTGGTGCTATAATCCTCTACATCTAAGAAAGAATTGAAAAATTCATAACAATTAGTATAAACAAGCAAACATAACTAAATTCTCATAGATGCTTACCTTACCCTATCCTCAAGTATTTGTATTTCAAATGTAGCATGAAAAGTGATATGTTAGTTGCAACATTCTATTAAAATTGCTGCAGGTGGCTGGGTGTCGTGACTTACACCTATAATCCTACCACTTTAGGAGACTGAGGCGGGAGGATCACTTGAGCCCAGGACTTCAAGACTAGCCTGGGCAACATGAAACTCCATGTCTACAAAAGATAGAAAAAACTAGCTGGGCAAGATGGCACACATCTGTAGTCACAGCTATTTGAAAGGCTGAGGTTGGAGGATTACTTGAGCCCAGGGAGGTCAAGGCTGCAGTGAGCCATGATCACGCCACTGCACTCCAGTCTGGGTGACAGAGTAAGACCCCAACTCAAAAAAAAAAAAACCAAACTGCAGGTGTCCTAAGATCACTTAACAGTTGTGTTGGGGTCATATTCTGAAAAAGTAAAAACTATTGACAAATAGCGAGGGAGAAAGAGCTCTGAAATTCACATGGCTATATTCAACTCCATGTATTTTTATATATGGCAATATAATGATGGTTCTCACCTAACCCTCATCAATTTTTTCTTTTGGTTATACTCTCCCAAAGTCCTCTGTGCCCTTTTCTGGCATCTTTAATTAAAATGCAGCAGGGTAATAAAAAGAGAAGAAAAAACTGTAAAGAAGTACCCCTAAGACAGAAAGCAAATTTTCAAACTGATATTGTTTTTTTTTGTTTTTTTTTAGATGGAGTTTCACTGTTGTTACCCAGACTGGAGTGCAATGGCATGATCTCGGCTCACCGCAGCCTCCGCCTTCTGGGTTCAAGCAATTCTGCCTCAACCTCCCGAGTAGCTGGGACTACAGGCGCGCACCACCATACCCAGATAATTTTTGTATTTTTAGTAGAGACGGGGTTTCACCTTGTCGACCAGGATGGTCTCGATCTCTTGACCTCGTGATCCACCCGCCTCGGCCTCCCAAAGTGCTGGGATTATAGGCATGAGCCACCACACCCAGCCACAAACTGATTTTGTTTGAAAGGCCCTGGTTTGTACTCAGAGGCCTAACCATTATATTTGCATATGCTTAGGGGCGATACATTATTTAACGTTTGAAGGTACATGCCAGTTTGGAAATGGATTACTAAATCCAAACTAAGCTTCTTAATCTCACGTTTTGTTCAACAGAGCAGCAAGTAAGAAAGTATTTGGGAGAAATAATCAGTTTCAGGAAGTCTTTCTCTGGTAATTTTGAGAAGAAAAGGGGATGGCAACAAACCATGGATGGTAGGCAGGGCAGATAACAAATTCGGATTGCTCATGGTTTTATGATCATGAACATAAAGGCTAACATAATGCCTAAGTGGGATAGTTTCTGTGGGAAGTAGAAAAGTTCCTTTTTAAAGTTTCCTTTCTTGTTAAATAATAAGTGTGCTAATAACTCTTTGTTAAGCCCTATCCTATGGAGCTGTTAGACATGCCATGCCTACAGGAACATAGTACATTCTATGTCCTTGTACTTTAACCAAGATATCTGTGCTGGACATGCTCACAGGCATGTCCCAGTTCTCCATTGCTTTTACCTGTTTAGAAAAGTTTTACGTTGTTAGCCAATCGGGTTTTAGTTTAGCTTGTGAGGTCTGGCTCCAGCCAACAAAGATAAGGCACAGCAGTAAGGAGGACCCCAAATGGGATAGATTTGTCTGTTTTTCCATTGTTCATTGTACTCTTGGGGTAAGATGGCTAGTGAGAGTACCTTTCCTACAGTCCAGGAAGTAAAAATTGCATTGCTGAAAAATCCTTTGTATCAGTGCTGATTTTTCTTTATGGCATCGAGCATCTATTTCCAACAATTTCCTTGAACTGTCTCCAGGACACACTATCTCATCAATGACTTATTTACACATAACATAAAGAATGAGGCCCTTTGAGGCAGATCATTTTGGAAATATACCTTGACTACCAAGTCACCCACCCCCATGCTTGGTCACCCTAGCAAATACATATGGGCAGAATTTAAGGAGAGAGAAGAGCTCTAGGAACCTCTTCCAGTTTTGAGTGCTGTCCAATTCACAAATTATTCTTTGTTCAAACAAATTCTGTTAAACTGATTTTGTCAAAAGACATGATTTAAGCCATGGGGGCAGAGCAAGATCTCTATCCTCTCTTTGCTTCTGCTGGTTGGGACAGAGCTGAAAGACTGATATGTCCAGGCTCCATCACAAGGGCAGGAGTCACGAATGTGAATTTACCAGTAATATAATAAAACAATGTCAGAATTGCTTGAACGGCCGATAAAGAGAAGAAAAATCCCCTGTTCCTTCTTTAAAGCAAAAGTTCAGCCTTTCAATTTTTAAATCAAAATAAAGTCTGCCTCTTCTAACAGGGTTTCTTAACAGTGTTTTCCTTTCTAAACCTTTAATAAATCTGGAGATGAGAGGCATTATAATCCAGACATTATATAAAGATTTATCTATGTGCCATCAGTTGTTACATACCAATAATGCCTGTATATCCAAGGTATAATATTTAAGTTTTCAAGTTATAATTGGCCAGAATGACCATATGAGTCTTGGCTTTGTATCCATTTGACCATATTGGAAAAGAAAACTTCCTTTTTATGCAAATAACCTTGATTAACATTAATAGAGGGTAACATCCAAAAACATTTACTAGTCTGGAGAGTAAAGGAACACTCTGGTTTTCAATCAGGAAGTGTTCAATATTTGTTCAATATTAATTTGATATATAACCTATCTGGAAATATATTTAAAGGGTAGCATTGATGAATGAGTTAAATGACACTAGGTAGATTTTCATGCTGGGAAAGGAAGAAACTGGTTTGTTTGTTTGTTTGTTTGTTTGTTTGTTTGTTTGTTTGTTCTGAGATAGTCTAGCTCTGTCGCCCATGCTGGAGTGTAGTGGGGCAATCTCGGCTCACTGCAACCTCCACCTCCCGGGTTCAAACAATTCTTTTGCCTCAGTCTCCCGAGCAGTTGAGACTACAGGCACCTCCCACTATGCCCAGATAATTTTTGTATTTTTAGTAGATACAGGGTTTCACTGTGTTGGCCAGGCTGGCCTTGAACTCCCGACCTCAGGTGATCCGCCTGCTTCAGCCTCCCAAAGTGCTGGGATTACAAGAGTGAGCCACCTTGCCCAGCCAAAATTGTGGGGGTTTTTAAAATGGAAATTTAACTTTTAATAATTTAACCAGTAAGCAGGATGAAATCTTAGTATGTTTACTTCTACTTCCTATTTTTAAAGAAACATTTGCCTTTCATGGCTATAAAAAATTCACTACAGACTTGCTTGGTAAGAAACAATCTAAATTACATTTTCCTGGGTACTGGTAATTAAAACAATGGTACAAAATGGAGGCATACACTTTAGTATAGAATGGATAGCAGGTTCTAGCTATAACAGCCTCCTTACATATTAACTATTTTGAAACTGCAGAAAATAAGCTGAAAGAAGAACTAAATTTCAAAAAAAAAAAAAAGAAAGAAAGAAAACCTGACTAATGTTGACAATATAGAGAAAAAATGATCACTTGATGGTTTCTAAATTTCCATACACCTTTTAGAACCTGGCTATAGGACCTTTACAAGTTAGAAAAGACTCAATTTCCAGTGGATGAAGATGGATATATCATCCAGTTATATTGAGATTTAACACATAAAAAGCAGGTAGAGGGAGGCAAATCCTGTACCCTTTGGAGGGCAGAACTTTCACATGACCCCTTGGTAGAGAAGCAGGTCATTCTTGACAGTGTAAACAAAGAATGGTATGTCATTCAGTGAAAGACGAAACTCACAGCCTCAAAGAAAACCCATCTCAAGGTGGGGAGATTTGGTTTTACTAGTTTTCCACAGAATCTGTGCAAATAAAAGTAGTTATCTCTTCCTTTTGTTTATGAACCTGAATGACTGGTTAATCTGGCTATCCCTATCCTCCTTTCATGGCTTAGTGTCAGAAAAAAAGATTTTTCTTTCTACTACAGCATTTGTTTTCCTTTCTACACTTGCCATGTTCACCAACAAAACAATTTGGATTCACCAATCCTATAGGGAAAACACCCTAAGCAACCAAGGCCTCTTTCTAAATGGAAAGTATTCATACAGGATCTGTTCCCAAGAACATGTTTTTAATGCATTTTTAGTGATTTCCCTTTATATTCTTTTTTTTTTTTTTTTGAGACAGAGTTTCGCTCTTGTTACCGAGGCTGGAGTGCAATGGCGCGATCTCGGCTCACCGCAACCTCCGCCTCCTGGGTTCAGGCAATTCTCCTGCCTCAGCCTCCTGAGTAGCTGGGATTACAGGCACGCACCACCGTGCCCAGCTAAGTTTTTGTATTTTTAGTAGAGACGGGGTTTCACCATGTTGAATACGATGGTCTCGATCTCTTGACATTGTGATTCACCCGCCTCAGCCTCCCAAAATTCTGGGATTACAGGCTTGAGCCACCACGCCTGGCATCCCTTTATATTTTTGAATTAAATATTGGTTAAATCTAAATTTACCAATATGAAGCAAAGTAGAAGCTCTTTGCTACATCATTGTTTAATATTTCAAGGTAGACTTCACAGTTTAAAAGCAAGAGAAAATGTAAGTCCAGCATTGTGGAAATTATTACCTCATCTGATCCTTTCTTTTCTCCTGGTTTGGAAGGCGATTCACTGTTTTTTTCACTGACATGCTATAAAAAAGTAAAAAATAATGCTTAATAAAGGAAGATAAGACAGATGATAGTAACTTTTATCCCCAAAGGCTAACTACATACCCTTTTTTGTTTGTTTTGACTTTTTTGTTGAGATGGAGTCTCACCCTGTCACCAGGCTGGAGTGCAGTAGCGTGACCTTGGCTCACTGCAACTTCCGACTCCCTGGTTCAAGTGATTCTACTGCCTCAGCCTCCCAAGTAGCTGGGACTACCAGCCTGCGCCACCACACCCAGCTAACTTTTGTAGTTTTAGTAGAGATGGAGTTTCACCGTGTTGACAAGGATGCTCTCGATCCCCTGACCTTGTGATCTACCTGCCTCAAACTTCCAAAGTGCTGGGATTACAGGTGTGAGCACCGTGCCTGGCCCCTCCCCCTCCTTTTTTTTTTTAAAGGACCACTTTAATCTTCTTCCTAAGAATGTTGGTAATTCACAAATTAGGTGGCTTTCAAAAATCAAGGGATGCTACAGACATTCATTGGGGATCCAGAAGGTCAGTCTGTAATTAACTAGATGCAGAGCTGATGGTGATGCCAAGGTGGCATCTTGTCTCCTACAAAATGTCTCATGAACTTCAAGCTCAAGTTTTAAGCATGGTAGACATCTCATTTATCAAGGAGATGAGACCTCTAAGAACCATGTTTCATCTGAAGCCATACTTAAGGCTCAGTTCAGCATGGACTCAAGAGTCCTCCAAGGGACTTCCCTAGAGTTCTTCTATGTATTCACCAATGCAGAAAGATAAGACCTGAAGGACAAAGACCATACCTGAAACTTCTTCTATGTATTATGGATTTAAGATTTCATTATGTCTATAAACAGAATTATTTTTCTTACTAGGACACTGAGGATAAATGCAATTTTCTTAAAGTTTTATTTTATTTTTAATGAACACATAATTTGTACATATTTATGGAGTACAAGGTGACGTTTTGAAATTACATATTGGGTAGTGATCAAATTGGGGTAATTGCTAAATCTATTGCCTCAAACATTTATTATTTCTTTGCAGTGAGAACATTCAAAATCCTGTTTTCTAGTTATTTTGAAGTATATAATACATTACTGTTAACTATAGTCACTCTACTGTGCAATAGAGCAACAGATCTTATTCCTTCTAACCAACTGTCTTTATACCCATTGATCAACCTCTCCCCCAAAGGCAAATATTTTTACATGGGGCATAAAAGCTTCAAGTAGCTTACATATTCATTTGTGTTGGTGACAAAATAAGCCATAACTTTACTGAAATTTTTTGAGACATGAAAAAATAGTTATGCATTACTGAATAGGGTGTGCAAAGAATTATTTCATCTCTGGCACACTGTGGGATGTTCAAGAAAGTGGGAGCAGAGAGCAAAACAGGAGAAAATAAAAGTTCACCATTGAATTCAATCCTAATCACCATCAGTTGAATCAAAATATAAAATACTATTATGTTCCCTAGAGAAGAATCATAAACTGGACATGTAGGTCAGTGAAATTATTTGAATTAAGAATGATAATAATAATGGTAATATAATAATTTATAATTATACACAAGACACTCGTATCGAGTCTCATTTGATACAAAATAGAGGCTCATGTTGTTTCATAAATGAGAAAACTTAGAATAATAGTGATTTGATGGTGCTTACAAGGAAACATGACTAGTAAATGGGAAAAAGTCACAAAGCAGGCTTTCTGACTAAAATCTGTCGTTTGCCATTAGAACATGTTAAATGGAATTAGATAATATTTTCTTTAATCACATTCACCTATAAAAGCTTGCTGCTCTTGCTGCTGAAGTGTACTGAGCTCTCTGAACTACTTTTGATTTTCCGTACTGGCCAACTCATAAATTGTCCTTTGCTTGAATAAGCTCTGTTAAATTTGTCTAAAATTTTATTTAAACATCCCTAAAAAAATTTGTCTAAAATTTTATTTAAACATCTCTAAAAAACATTCTACAAAGACGGAGATTACCAAATCTTCCAGAACTGGTAATTTTAGAACCATAATATCACATTTAACTATTATCTGTAATTCATATTTCTTCAGATTACATAATGTAAGTAATAACAATAATAGCCAGTGTTTTATTGGGTGTTTACTGTTTTGAGTGCCTCATTTACTTGTCAGGAGGTGTAATTATTCCATTTTACAAATGAGAAAACTTTAAAAGGTGACTTGTTCTTGTTTGGTACAAGGTTCCAAGCTCTCCACAGGGTCTCACTCTGCTTTCTGCTTTGTGGCAAATATATATCATAATTTATTACCCTACAGTAAATGCACGTACAGACTTTTCTCCCTTAAAATACAGAATATAGATTTTTAAAATGCTTTAAATTGTTTCCTAATGATAATTCAAAAGGGATTTCCTTGTAGACGTATAGATTAACTAACATTATCAGTTACTTGCCTCTATTGATATGTTTAAAACCTCTCAAAATTATGCAGCCTCCAAATAATAGTTTGGGAGGGACATAAGTAAGTAATGAATGCTTTTTAAAATGTTGACTTATAATAACAATTTTTAAATTATGTATTATGAGCATTGTTATTTTTTGACTTCAAAGGAAATTGTTGCTCACAATAGAAAGCTGTTTTAAAATAAGCAAAAGTATAATGGCATCAATAAAACTCACTTATAATAAAAGCCCAACTTTTTTTAAACTTCATGGATATTTTTCCACTTCCTATTTTTTAATTTTTTTTGAGACCAAGTCTCACTCTGTTGCCCAGCCTGAACAGCAGTGGCACAATCTTGGCTCACTGCAACCTCCTCCTGGGCTCAAGCTATTCTCGTGCCTCAACCTCCCAAGTTGCTGGGATTACAGGTGTGCACCACCACACCTTGGTAATTTTTGTATTTTTAGTAGAGATGGGGTTTCACCATGTTGGTCAGGCTGGTCTGGAACTCCTGACGTGAGGTGATCTGCCCGCCTCGGCCTCCCAAAGCTCTGGGATTACAGGCATAAGCCACCACACCCAACCCAGTTCCTATTTTAAGCCCATCTTTTTATTATGAAAAATATCCAACAGACAGAAAAGTTGAAAGAATGATACAATGAATGCCCATAATCCCCCCACTCAGATTTCAACAATTATTAACATTGTTGCCATATTTTGCCGTTTGCATGTGAGAGAGAGAGAGAGAGAGAGAGAGAGAGAGAGAGAGAGAGAGAGAGAGAGAGAGAGAGAAACAAGTGGGCACTACACGTCTTTACATACCTGTATTAGAAAGTAAACTGAAGACATCCTGAAATTTTAACCCTGAACTTTTCACCATGCCTCTCCTTAAACTTGAGCACATTTTCCCAAGTGGTGTTGGTATATACCCAATACCATTATCACCCTAAGAGAATTAACAAGAACTTCCAGTAAATAACAACTGTATCAAGTAACCATTGCCCTGATCTTTTCTTGGAGCTTATGTAATATTCAGCAGTCTGTTAATAATGTAAAATCTATTGTATCTTTTCACTGAGAGAGATTTATGAAATAATTGAGTACTTTTCACATAATTGAGAGGATGGAATGAAATACTTGGGGTGACATATGTCAAATTTGATCCAGCTCAGGAATCTGCAGGAGTCTTTCTAACAAGTGAAGAGAGAAAACTCTGCTGACGTGTAACTGCTGGATTGAGGAGAGTGAGACAAGCAGGGAACAGGGAAGGAGTGACAGCTGGGAAAAGAGAATTGAACCACAAAACTAATTAGAGAAAAGAAATGAACACCTCCTAAGCATCTGCTCTGTGTTCGGCCTAGTGCCAGGCATCTCCTATGTGGTCTTCTTTGCTCCCCACAGCAACTCTAGGGAGTATCCACTGTGGCCTTGGTTCATGGGTAAAGAAACTGAAGATCTGAACAGAGATGCTCTCCATGGTCATATTGCTCAGGATTATGAGGACCAGAGGCCAGGCTACTTTGGATCTAGTGAACAGCTAACTGAGATCTTAGGATTATCATCAAGAAAGTCTTTAGAGCAAGCCAGTGCTCTGGAATGAAAACAAAACAAAAGGCACGAAAAATAACAAAACAAACGCTTCCTATTCTAAAACTTGTTTTACAAATGAACTGAACACACAATACTTACAAATTCTGTCCTGTATTGGCAGCTAGAGCAGAGGCCAAAGACAGGAAGAGCAGGACAGGATGCCGCAGTAAAGACTGTCATTGGGAGGACAAGGCCGTAGAAGACAGGAGACTACCTTGGGGCTAAGATGAAGGTGGTATGTGCTACAGAAGCTCAGAGCCAGAGACAAAAACCACATAAAGGGCTTTGCTGTCTTCACTCAGGAAGGAATAATCTTCCAAACTGTTTCACTCCCATTTTTATCACGTAATTGGCAAGTAGAACTGTCCTTTGTCCTCATTCTAGGTGGCAGCCCCTATATGTTTAAAATCTGCCATAGCAAACCCATAAATCTGAAAAAAAAAAAAAAAAAAAAAAATCAACAAGAGCTAAGTGCAATAAGGCTCAGAGCCTGAGCTCTCACCCAGCTCAGGGAGGGCTTCTGCCAGGGTAGAAGTTTCAGCTCTGCCACATTTGGGCACCCGCCTGTTGTTACCCAGATACACACATATACATAGACAGCCAAGGAAACACCTCACACAAAACAAGATAAAAATCAGAGAAACTAGCCTGGCATGGTGGCGTATGCCTTGTAATCCCAGCTACTGGGGAGGCTGAGGCAGGAGAATCGCTTGAACTCGGGAGGCACAGGTTACGGTGAGCCGAGATGGCGCCATTGCACTACAGCCTGGGTAACGAGCAAAACTCCGTCTCAAAAAAAAAAAAAAAAAAAAAATCAAAGAAACTTCTTCACATATAAAAGAAGCAAGAAGGCTGGACGCAGTGGCTCACACCTGAAATCCCAGCTCTTTGGGAGGACAGGACCGGGACATCACGAGGTCAAGAGTTCAACATCAGCCTGACCAACATAGTGAAACCTCGTCTCCACTAAAAATACAAAAAAATTAGCCAAGCATG